TATATGTATGTATGTGTATATTTTTTAATTCCATCTCCTGGGACTACTGACAGTCTCCTTTCTGAGTGTCAACTGTACACTACAATCAACCCAATGCAAAAATATCGAACACTTCACAAATTTGCATGTTGTCCTTGTAGAGGGCCACGTAATCTCCTGGCAGAAGCAGCCATCAAACTCTAAATTACTAATACCCACAATACTCGCTGGCCGTCATGCACTCACATGTTAAAAGTTCATTAACCCCCTCCCCCACCTGGTGCTCTTCTAGGGCTGATCATGTAGAAGCTAAGAAGAAAAATGTCTTGGTAAGAGGTGTGGTCTTGAAGGAAAGAGGGGCACCCATCCCTGTCTCGCTGAGGGGACTTGCCCATGTCCATGGAGCAGGTCAGAGGGAGGAGGACCTGAATCCAAACCTACTCAAACTTTCTAGCCCGTGCTAGAAACTGCATTTTGTGGCCATGAACACACAACGACGTGCCTGAGAGCCCCGCTAGCTGCATACCGTAAGAATGTCAGGAGCCGGAGACACCCATCGACACAGACGCCCACAGGCGCTCAGCAGGCAGGGCCTTACCTTTGAGGCTCGGAGGTGAGCTGTTGCTGGATGTGTTCCTGCTGCTCTCCAAGCTGCCTGGTCGTGACGCTGAAGGAAAGAGCAGTGCTCAGCATAAAGGGCCGAGGGCCAGGGGGACCCAAGGCCAGCCACCTCACGTGAGAAGAATGTGCAACCAAAGCTCAGCCCAGGCCCTCAGGAACACCTCTGGGCACTCCATCTGCTCCCGCGGAAGCTTAGCTTCACCCACAGAGCGCAAGGCGCCGCACAGCCATGGAGAGAGACAGCTTTGACAACCCGCCTTTACCCCGTCTAGGGCTGCAGTTTGGAATGGCAGTAATGACGGAGGAAACTCACAGAGCCCCAGTCTAGAAACAGAACAAGCAAGGGCTGCGCATGGCTGCCGGGTCACATGTGTGACAGCATGTCCCTGCAGGTGACAAACGGGGTGAGGGTGCTGGGACCGCAGGATGAAAAGGAGCAATCTGTCCTCCTGGGTGGGGACTATTCCTTGGTGTCTCTGCCCCCGATTTACATGTCCCAGAGGGGAAATTGAGACTGACGTGACACGCGTGGAGGCAGCCGGCCCCCTGGTGGCTGTGGCGCTGCCCTGCTGCAGACCCGCAGGAAGGCTGGCTCCATCCCTGCGGAGGGTGAGCCACCCCCGAGGGCTTGCTGACTTCTCTTGCCAGGCTCTCCCGGCAGCCTGCCCTGTATCAGAATATCGCATGAGAAGACCTCTCTTCCACTGGACTCAACCCCTGGGGGGACAGGGACAGTGTTTCTGTCATCTCTGCAACCCCTCAGCACACAGCAGATGCTAAGCTGACCTGGGCAGGAGGCCCGTGCTTGTGGTCCCCACAGAGAGTCTGCTCTGGTTTCCTGGGTCTACAGGGCTCCCAGTTCCCAAGTACTGAGGAGCCCAGCAGGCATCTGGGAGGGACCCGAGAGCACATGGCATCCGGGCAGGGGCCAGAAAGACGGTTCAGGAATAGCAAACAGCAAAGTCAATCCCCTCTGGGGAGGGAAAATCTGAAATAAACAAATACACATGTCTTTAAAAAGGTGGGGTGTTTTGCCACGAGAAACAGAAACCAACCAGATGGGCATGCACCGTGGTTTACTCAAGTGTTGCCGCAAACCCCTCCTGTCCTTTAGATAGGAGCTGGTGCTCAGCCGCCAGTCACAAGTCTGAGTACTGGGGGAGATGTCCTGCTGTATGGTCCCCACCTGGTGTGAAGGCAGAGGGCTCCAGGGACCAGGTCTCCTCACAGAGCCTGTCTGCTCACAGGAGACAGGAGGCCTCCCTGGTGTGCGCTGCAGCTGCAGCATAGGTGTTAGGGTCAGGTGGGGTGCCGTATGCCCTGGGTGCAAGAGGCAAGCTGAATGCCCGTGAACTAACATACTGAGCGTGTTTTTTTTTTTTTTTTTTAAGGATCATTTCCCCACTCTTGCAAAGTTGCTTTTCAAAAACTGAGGCCTGCAGTTAGAATGGCGATCATGGGGAATCATTCCTGGCGGGAGGGGAGTCACCCTCTCAGTGGGATGGGTGCTCTGGAGAGCTGTGGGGAGATTCCTCCAGGACTAGAAATGGAGCTACCGTCTGACCCAATTACAGTGTCGCCTGCGTACCAATGCTCCTGCAGGCGATTCACAATAGCCAAGTTATGGAACCAGCCTGGTGCCCGTCAGCAGACAACTGGATGAAGAAATATGGCGTGGGGCTGGGGTGGTGGCTCAGTGGTAGAACACCTGCCTAGCATGTGCAAGACACTGGGTTCGATTCTCAGCACCGCATAAAAATAAATTAAAAAAAGAAAATATGGCATGTATACGTGGTGGCGTTCTGCTGAGCCACAGTGAAAAATGAAATTGCCATTTGCTGGTGAAGAGATGGACCTGGAAATCATCGTGTTAAGTAAAATAAGCCTTGACTCAGGTCAAGGATCAAATGTTTTCTCTCATATCTGAAAGGCAGAGAGAGAAAAGATAAAAATGAAAGAAGGGATCTCTAGAAAACAGAAGGGAGACCAGTAGACTAGAGGAAGGGGATCAAGAGGGAGGACTGAGTTAAGAAGGCTACCAGGTTATGCTATGTCCACGTGGGAACACACCACGAATCCCGCTTAGTAGTTATAACTAACAGTAACAGAGGGGAGACCAGAGGAGCCAGGTGATGGGGGAGGAGAGCGGAGAGGGGAGGGGGAGGAAGGGTCCTGGGGAAGGAGACTGACCAAATCACCTGCATGTGTAACTTCAGCACAATGAAGCCATCGTGTAGATTATAATGCACCAACCAACAAATAGAAGAAAGAAGAAGAAAATCCCTAAATAAAGAGTCCATGCTAAATAAAAGGCTTGAGGACTTGGTCTGTGCACTTGCTTAGCATGCCCGAGGGAGCCCTGGCTTCCATCCCCAGCACTGGGGGCGGGAGAAAACACTCAGAAACAAGCCAAGCAGCTCGTCAATCGGAGAAGCCTGGGATCACCTGCTGAGTGATCCCGATTCCTGAGAAACACGCACCATCCCCAACCACAGGACACGTGCTGCCAACGGCTTCTAGGACTTAGTACAACTCGGAGCACCCCGGGCACGGAAAGCCCAAGCGAGGACAGAGAGGCCTTCCCGAATGGACACTCTGGGCGCCACCACCAGAACTTTCTGCCACACCTACAGGGAGCGTCAGCACCCCGAGAGCTGGCACGTCAGGGAGGCGGTGCCGTCCCCATGGCTGGACAAGTGTGAGCACAGCTCAGTCCCCTGGCAGGGCGGAGGACGGGAGCCCGGAAGACATGGTACCAGGAGCTGACCACAGCGGCAGGGGGAGGCTGGTTCCCTGGAGAGTGAGCCCCATCCCACTCCACGGTCACCTCTCTACACGCTGATGCCACTTGACTTAGTGTGAAGGAAAAGCCCGACTGACAGAAACCTCAGAACCCACACTGACGGGCTCTGGCCGCGGTCACTCACCATGCTGCCTGGGCTGGGTGCACTGGAGCTCCGGAGGTGGGTCGCAGAGGTTGTCATCTGAATTACAGCCTGAAAAACACAGCTGGTGAGTTGGGGTTCGGGATGCCCACCAGCCACAGGCAAGCCCCGGCCCTCTGCTGGAGGGCCAGCTCTGACCTCTGTCTGGCACCTGGGTCGTGGCTATGTCCTGGGAGGAGGCGGGGAGGGTGGACTGTGCCTTGGGTCCTGCCTCTTCTAGCCCTCCCCTTATTTCTCCAGCCAGGAAGAGGAGACACTGACATCCTGGCTCTTGTCCAATATTAACTTAGATCAAACTTCTGCCTGGGAAACGCCTGGGACCCCCAAACAAAAGGGGGGCTCTGGCCTAAGAACATGGTAACAGGAGCTGCCCACATCTGAGGGGAGGGACGGGCTCCCTGGGGGGTGAGGGCTCCTTGCACACACAGCACCTAACCAGATCCA